TGTGTGTGTGTGTGTGTGTGTGTGTCCACACAGCTGGATCATGTTAGCCCGTCTGACACCTGACATGTGTGTTCGGACCAGAACCTTTCGATCTGAGGATTAAACCTGAAGCTGAAGAAAGATGAAAGAGACGATAAATAATCTGCAGAGACCAGGATCAGTTTTCAGTCCTGCTGGGATTAAAACGCTTCAGAAACAAGAACTTCTGCACTCGTTCCTGCAGAAACTCCTCCAACGTTCCAAACATCTGCACCACATCAAGAAAAAAAAAAAAACGATGGAAACTTGGAGTCTGAGTGGCTATAAAACACACAAAACACTGATTTCAAACAACTATTTGTTCGGCCTCCCTGCGATCGCTCTCTGCCAGAAACAAACGGCACAAACAAAGTTTCCTCTGGGYTCGGCTCGTAAATTACACGAGATGATTTGAAAAACACGCGGRGCACATGTGCAGGAAGAGCTTACAACAATAAAAGCACCTGAAGAAGCTGAAAAACTTCATTTAAACTGAGATTAAAAAACAGCTTAACGAGGCAGGAGGAAGATTAACAAACACCTGAATGAGTCTCATCATCATCATCATCATCATCATCATCATCCTCCAGCCCTGTTCTTTCTGCAGGGAGGGTGTGGTTTTCAGCTGCAGTGGGAACTCTTCATCACTCAGATTAAAACTTTAATCCCAGTTTTACCCAAAGAATGAAAAACACATTCAAAGAGTTTACTCTTATTTTGAAAAACATATTTTTTGCCTCTTTTTTTAGGTCTGATGTGTGTCATTTTTACACCTGTGATCCAGTTTGAGCAGAAACCTGGATGGCACACGCCCATCTGAACGCAGCAAAATCCTCCTCAGCCGAACTTCGGCTCACCTTTTGCCCCGTGAGGAGTTCTCACAGCTTAAGTATAGGTTTGAGTGTGAGTGTTAAACGCAGACGTTTACAGGGTAAAAACCTCTGCTCAGAGCTGTAATTAGCTCGTGTTTATTTACAGAACATGCAGCTTGTTGGGAGATGATTCAGAMTTCAGACTCACCCCGAGCCGAAGTAGCCGAAGTAGCCGAAGAAGCTGAACTCCACCAGATGTGTTTTATAGGAAGAAAAATTGATGAAAAAGTGAGTTCAAGCTGGACTCCTGCTCATGATCCTCCTGGTTAAATCCTGTCTTCACCTCTGAAGGAGGTGCTGATGGTGTGAAGGGTCCGGAGCGAGGAGGGGGGTGGGTCTGGACCTGAAGGACTCCAGCACCCTGCTGGTCTCGAACCTGAGGAGCTGTGGTGCTGAGCTCCAGCAGAGGATGAGACAAACTTCCAAAGTTCTGGAGCTTCGCCACCTTCCTCCTCTCCTCCCACTTTCTGCAAAGAAAGGAGGGAAAATGTGCAGGAGGGGGTGAAGCAGGCTCACGGCCCTGTTTGGTCTGGATGTGAGGAGGGAGGATGATGATGTCACACATCTGGACAGGGCTTTTCTCTTCACCTTCATCAAACTCCTGCAGGACCGTTTCCAGAAGTCCTGCTCTGCAGAACAAGCTGATCTGCTGGATCCGGACCAGATCCTCCCTCAGTCAGGACCGGGTCCAAACCGGTTCACGGTGTGGTCTGCGACACAAACCTCTTTCCTTGGACCCGGTTTCACAGATTCATCATAAAGGAAACGCTGTGAGGAATGTCTAAAGCAGCAGAAGAGACACGAGGAGCAGCGAAGGAGGATATTTTACTAACACAGTTTCAAAACTCATGAAGAGAAATCATGTTTTTACTCAGCGTCTAAAAGTTTCACTCAGTCTGTAAAAGATCTGTGAAAAAACACACAAACAGAGACGTTAAAGTTGTTTTAATGAAACAAACCAGAGAACCTAATTCTACAGTTTTAATAACAAGATAATAAGATTTTTTTACCACAATCATCAAAACAACACAAAACCAAGAAGCTCCAGAAACTTCAGCACCACTTTAAAATAAGGCTCCCCTTATAGATGGCTTTAAATACTTTATAGATTCATCTGTAAAGACTTTATAAATCATTAATAAGGGTTTATTATTCATTAATTATTAATAATTATTAAAGGAAGCCTCATTGTAAAGTGGAAAACAGTGCACTATTTATTAATGACTAAAAACGTGTAAATATCATAAGGGAGCCTTATAAGTACTGCACTGTTTTACACTTTACAATAAGGCTGCCTTTGATGGTTAATATTTAAAATGCAGTAATACAGTACAATATTATATGTAAAATATGTGTTTACAAATATTATGCTGACAAGGTCTTAATCTGAAATGTTAAATAAGCACCTTTAGAACAGATTTGGCTCACTATTTGGCAAGAAACTGGAGAGTTTTCTTTTTCTTGTCCTTAATTAATGC